CCCGTCGCCTCGAGGGGAGGGGGCGGGGGTGAGTGACGCGAAGAGCAACGAGACACGCGCGGCGGGAAGTGGGTTCCGAGAGTGGCAGCCGGATTCCCCTATTAGCTGCTCAGAAAGACGGTGAGGAGGCGGGGCAAAGCCTGACTGCGCTTGCGCAATGGCTGAATTCCCCCCTCCCTCCGGTATCCCCATGGCAACGCGCAGGAGTATGGTGCCCCATGGTGGCCGTGGAGGCCTGTGGCGGGCAGGCCGCGGGGGAGCAGGGCCCTGGACATCCCGTTAGCCCCACAGCTCTTGTCCCTCTCGGCGCCAGGGAGCAGAGGTGCCTCCCGCCCATGCCCTGCCGGGGCCGCATGCCACAGAAGCCATATTTACGTCTGTGTCCCTATAGGAAGCACTCCCTGTCCCCCTCCTCTTGGCTGGCCTCTGATGCTACAGGCTGCAAAGTGTGCTGTGCTCAGTTAACACCAATGTGTAATTTTGACACCGACTGTTCAAATAATTTAGTTGCAATGTGCACGCGCACATGCATGTGCACACGTTTTAAAAACACTTGCTGTAAAACCAACCATACCAATTCCTAGGTGTAGCACAAGACATTTTAAAGCAAAATTAGACATCAAGGTTTAGAATTACTGCTTTGCACCTGTAAACAACTCTGGAGTCAGGCTTTCTGTGCCAAAATGCTTCTGAATCCTGGTGATGCATTTCCCACTTGATGCCTACATATCACAAACATCTCTTAGAGTCTCCCCTCAGACCTGCACTCCAGGGTTTGAAGAGCAACAGGGGCAGTAAATTAGAGTGAAGCTTTGAAAAAGAAAGCGGATAAGGCACAGCCTTGAACAACTCTTCTTGGAGGGCTGGGAGACTCTTCAAAATGGCCATGAGGGGCAACCCCAGGAGAAACACAGCATCCGGGTCCTCGCCACCAAGTGCCCTAACAGTAATCTGAGGAACAGACTTGAGCGATCCCTGACCCCCCACAATGCTGAGTGGCTCAACAGGACCAGTCGGGATCAGATACGGGCCTGGGCAGGGACAGAGGCTTCTTGCAGGTAGTGGCAGCACCCCGAAACACAGCCAGGCTCTCCAGGAGCTGAGGTTCTGGGGTGCATCATGATGGGAAATTCCTGCCAATCAGAGGGGAAGAGGGAAAGTCCACCTGTGCTCATGATAACGGGGATATGGCAGTGCTAAGCAGTGATGAAGGGAGGAAAGATCTTCGGAGACAGAGGTGGAAAGGGAGGGAGAGGCACACAAAGGGTCCTCAGTCAGGATGAACCAAGGCAGCAGAGAAAGGAGCTGAGGGCGCGTTGTCCCTTGCGCCACCTAGACATCTTCACAGAGCTCCTCTTGCCCTCTTGCTGGACGCTTGGCCACAGGAGGGGAAGGAGGTCCTGGAGGGGCACTGGACCCTGTCTTCCTCGGACCTGCAGCAGGAGGACAGGAGAGCCAGCACCCCCAAAGCCCCCTGTCCTGCTCAGTCGTTCTCTGAGGCCTGGCCTGCTGGCTGAGACGCCGCTGGAGGACTCCTTCCTCCTGGAGACAGTGGTTGCCCCTCGTCGGCAGCTCCCAGGGCACAGTCCGTGGCGGTTTCCGTGTCAGAGATGGTG